GTTCATCTCCATATTCCTCTTCACATATTTATTTATTTATTCAATTTATACGCCTGTCCATCTCGAGGACATCACCCTGGGCAGCTCACAACATTGACATAAGTAAAAAATATACGCAGATACAAAAAATAAAGCACCCAGCAACTGGAAAAGTCATAAAAACAGCCCTCCACCCCACCTGGAGATGGGCTCCGTCAGCACCTGGGGCCCCAGGCTTGAGCACAGAACCAGGTCTTCAAGGCCCGGCGGAGGGCCAGCAGGGTTGGGGGCCAGCCTGATCTCAGGAGGGGTGATGTTCTAGAGTGTGGGTGCCAGGGCATATGTTAATGCCAGATGGTAACGCTGTATTTTTGTTTGTTTGAGCAATGTTATATGAACACAACAGTTGGGGTTTGATAACTTGGGACAGTTTAGCCAACCTTTGGCTAGTCTCGAAAAGTTAACCCCTCCTCTGGATCTACACCAGTGTTTCTCAAACTTGGCAACTTGGTCAGGCCTGCTGGATGGGGGACCACAAGGAAATCCCAGGATTATGGACTAGATGGGGAACTGAAAGAAGGCAGCGACAGACCACCTGTGTATTAAGGTTTCTCTATGAAGTCACCAAGAGTCATAGTGGATTGGAAGGAGTCAAATGAGAAAAGGGTGAAGGACATATAGTAAGTTTCCACAACATGTTAGATTAGGCTACAATGGGGTTGGGTACAGGGATGTCCGGGGAGGTCAAAAAAGTCAAGATGGCAGCATGATGGTGCAATGGAAGTTCTGCTTACCTTTGACATGCATCAAAATCAGCGTAACTTCCATTGTATTGTCACAGCTGCCACCTTGAATTTTTCTGACCATACCACGTCAAAGCATTATAATGGCTTATTTGCTTTGAGGAGGCCAGAGATGGCGGTTTATTGTTGTCCTTAGTTCAGCGTGGGGGATGAAGGCAACCAATCTGTTTTGCTTGGGTCCAAGAGCGGAGGAGGGACGTGTCCTGCCATCGGGGTCTGGAAGGGATGAAACGTGTGTTGGGACGTCACAGCACCAACTCCGTGACTTACACGCTTGGTGCGTGTGGTGGTTATGCAAGATGCCTGGGTGTCCTGCCTGTGACTTTTCTATAACATGCGTCGGAGGGCCCACTGGGACAAATGGCAGGCTGGATCTGACTCAGCCTGGACCTGCTTTCCATGGGTGCATTCACACAGCACCCTCAGCCTGGCAACTGAGTTAACCCCTCCTCTGGATCTATACCAGTGTTTCTCAAACTTGGCCACTTGAAGATGGGTGGACTTCAACTCCCAGAATGAAGATGGGTGGACTTCAACTCCCAGAGTGATCCTGGCTAGGGAATCCTGGGAGTTGAAGTCCACCCATCTTCAAGTGGCCAAATTTGAGAAACACTGATTTATACAATACAGGCAACTCTAAATTCAGCAAGTGGGCTGGATTTATACGACCTGCTCAGCTCCTCCCCAGACAAACCTAGTTTAACCCTATCCTATCCTGGTAGCCTATTGTTTGAATGTACTTGCTAGGCCCTGATCTGGCTTGGTGAAGCATGTGGGATAAATACAGCTGTTTTCTCAAACCAAAACTCAGGAGGCCTCCGGAAAGATGCCCTCCTGCGCTTTGCTGCAGGAGCTGAATTCTGACCCATCAGCCTACCCTTTCCTTAAACGGTTCACACACACACACACATACACACACAGATGCGCACGCCCACGCTCCCCCCCCCCCCCCCC